TATAAAAACAGGAATTGCATTGCTTTTGCTTAAAAAGTTGAGACATTAGATGACATCCTACTAGCATAGAAAATTAAGAGAAACTTTTTACAAAATCTTATTTCCTAATTTTACTTAACGCTGTATGTTTTCACATGGTATGAAGGAAATTTCATGGTAATGGAAAAATTTATAGAATTTCCCCAGCATTTTGAATCCCTTTTGCAGATGTATAAATACACACACATCTTCTATATTGTACAAGGCCTTAAAATGGAAATAAATGGAATTTTCCCACAAAGTCCTTATATTTACATGTCCCTGGATCACCTTTTAAATTGGTTTAAATTATACTATGGTTGACATCCTATCAAAATCTGGCAAGTCTAGGGTAGTGATAATCTAATTGTTCAGATGCCCTATTTTTCACATGGAGCAGCAGAGGATTTGTCACTATGAAAGTAAGCACCAAAGTGACAAAATACAAGGCTTTGTTTATCTGCTTACACCCCCAGACGTCTTACCTTTAAGAACCCTAACCTTACAAGTGTGGCTCTGACTTTGTAGTAATAGCAGTTTAACCGTACTTCTAATTAGGTTGTTAGGATGTGCAGCAGCACAAACAATTCACTTTCTTAGCCTAGGAACTTTATTTTGTACTTGATGCCTAGTCTTTTTTTATCCCTTGAAAATCTCATACAGTAGTTCAGATGAATAGAATTTGGATATTATAAGACTATAGTACTAAGAAGAGGAGTGGCTTGGTAGATTATGACATTTCTATTGCAAATAAGACCCATCGAACATAATTTGATGCTTACAACTTACCAAAATTTTCTCACCCTTCTCCAATGACCAAATTCAAATTTGCACCAACAGTAAACCGATGCCTCAGACCATAGCTGTCCAAAGAGAACACAGGCCCATTCCTGTCACAGAGGGAGGTACATGCTCCACTCACCAAGACAAACTAAACCCAGAATCCATGGTCTGTGCCAATTGGACCACCAGCCACAGGAATGAACAGCTACTTTCTTAGACCACTAACCCTGGCCAGAAACTGAGGACAGGCAGGGAAAATCACTTTCTCAAATGGAGTTTCTGTTTCATGCTAGTTAATAGCTTTGTCTGAAAATGAGACTATGATCCTATCTTATGTGTGGCTTTGGTCCTTCCCTCCTTTCTGTGTGTCCTGTACAAATCACACTGATATGCTGGATTTGTGGTTGGTTCTGACCCCTGGGGAAGTGCTATACCTGGATTATGCCTGTAGGTGCTCATAGAAGCCCATGGGAGAAATGTTGTTCTGATCTTATAGCTGCGAAGACAAAGGGTCATAATGTTTAGATGTTCACCCCAGTGTGACATAGCCAGCACTCACAACCACCAGGTTCCCACCATACTTGTAATCCTCGCTTATGTGACCAAATGGTCAGTGGCAGTTGTCTGGCTC